TAATGGGGAATTAGCATACCTTCTAGCAGAGGTGTATAAATAGAAAGAGAATTACTGGGGAAATTAACCAGAGTTCTGGGGGGAAATTTAGTCCCTTGATGCCAGAAGGGTTGAGGGCTTTAATTAGAGAACTAGTTAAAATTTTTTATTAAATTTTATTGTCTTTTATTTATTTCTTTGGTGAGATCTTTTTATTTGTGTGTAGTAAATCACACCAGCTTTCATTGTTATACTTCATTTAAGATAAAAAAATTAGCAGGAATTTTATACTGTTTTTCTTACAGATAAAAGAAGCCTAATCTTAAAAAAAAAAAAAAAATACCGTTGTAAACCAGTAACTCCGGAAATAATAAGTCACTATGCCTTCAATTTGTGTTCTAGATGTATTTCTCCTATTAAATCAGACAAAGAAACATGTTTCTGCTTGTTCTCTTGTAAATGTAATGTGACCGTATTAAGTTATAGTTTCTTTTTTAAGGAATTTTTAAAAAACTGGCTACTCTGAATATATTATTTAGCATGGTAACCAAGTGTAACAGAAAATAATACTTTTTTGAGGGGGATGTTAGTCATTTTATCATCCAGTCACTCCCTTTTATTCCTCTGAATGAGTCCGGTGTTGATTTGTTGGTGCGGATGTACACACAGATGTTTTTGTGGTTGTGAAACCGTAGATACATGTATTTATGTACTGAGTAGCATTAGTTTCCCATCTTGAATATTTCTACCATTTAGTTAGTGAGCACAATGTAATCACATGCTAACTTATCAGTTATGAATACATTGAGTGACAACAAAAAACTAACAGTGGCCGAAACACACTGGGATTTATTTTTCTCCCATAAAAATAAGCCCAGAGCCTGGTGAGTCAGAGTTGGTCCCATGACTCAAGGATGTCATCAGACACTCAGGTTCCATCCTCTTGTTCTGCTCACCGCGTGGCTTTCCTCCTTACGACCGTAAGTGATCGCTGGATGGGCCTCACATTCTCTTTCCAGGCAGGCAGAAGAGAGAAATGCCTCTGTTAGGAAAGCAGAAGCATTCCCAGAAATCCACTTTGGGGTTACATTGTACAAAAGAGACTGGGAAGTGATTTTTTTCAGTGGAGCACATTGCCATTCTCCGCACAGGGTTCAGCTGGGGAGCCAGCAGGGGAAAAGAGACAATGAGTCGTAGGCATCTAGCCACATCTCCTACGGATTCTTGTTTTCATTCAGGTTATTTTCCTCCTTGTAAGAATAGCACCCAGTTATTCAAAAATGAAACCACCATGTGCTCCCCTCCTTAAGGGCATCAATTCTTCACATACTTGGCAATATCTTCAAAGCTCTGTATCTTGAGCTATGGCCCTGCAGGATGGTTCTACCTGGACATTTGCTGGTTGGTTCAAATACACTTATGTACGAAGCTAAATATTTTTATCTTCATTTTTTTTTTGTCCAGTCAGGGTTGTCAGCATTTTCCCATACTAGCAAGGTAGAATAATCCTAACTTCTTAAATTCCTCTTATTCCCTAACCCAACCTGCCATCAGCTGTAGTTTCCTGCATTGAAATATCTTGGAGGTGACACCCCCCTCGCCCCACTGTCACTGCTGAAGTTCACACACTTGCTACCTCATTTGTGCATTATTCACAGGGTTTACTAGCTGATTTCTCCAATCCTGTTCTTCCTCTTTTATCCATTTTGCTGGTCATTAAGAGTCCAATTTTATTAAAACTTAGTGTTCTTAAATATTTCTCCCCTATGTAAGAGTTTCTAAACCAAATTCAGAGTGCTTTCCTCTTTAACTTTTCTTTCATAGCAGATACTTTTCTTAGTCTGTCTTTTTTTTTTTTTTTTTTAAGATTTTATTTATTTATTTGACAGAGAGAGACAGTGAGAGAGCAAACACAAGCAGGGGAAGCGGGAGAGGGAGAAGCAGGCTTCCTACCAAGCAGGGAATCCGATGCGGGGCTCAATCCTAGGACGCTGGGATCATGACCTGAGCTGAAGGCAGATGCTTAATGACTGAGCCACCTAGACACCCCTCTTATTCTGTCTTTATTTCCCTTTATTTCTCAGTCTAAATTAACTTTCTTGTTGAAGAATGCACTTAGTGCACTGTTTCCTGCTTCCCTCCCCTAACAAATGTAAGTGGCCATAGACGGGTTCCTCCTCTTCTCTGGTTGTGTCCTCCAGCGCCCACCTCCAGACTGTTTTGATCTCATCATTCCAAGTTCTACCTTTCAAGGCCTAGCTTCTAAAATCCTTTCTTTTTGAACTTTCTTGGCAATTCCTGCCTATGTGTTTTTGTAGTTGTTCTAAACTATATTTTGAAAAAGCTGTGTGGTATGATGGGATTTCTTTGGAGTCAGAGAAGTATAGCTTTAGATCTCGACTTAGGTACTTACCAACTTTTTTGCCTTAAGCAAATTGACCCTTCTAAGGTAGTTTCTTTATCTATAAAATTTAAGTAATTACAAGTACACACATACATCTTACCATTTTATGAGTGTAAAATGAGGTAATGTTTAGTAATGTATAGTAGTACTTAGTATTAGGGATTGTTGCTTGAAAACAAAACCCCAGGATAGTAGTGTCTTAATCAAAGAAAGAAAGTTGAAGTTTATTTTTCTCTTATATAAAAGAAGTCTCCAGGGGTGCCTGGTTGGCTCAATGGGTTAAAGCCTCTGCCTTTGGCTCAGGTCATGATCCCAGGGTCCTGGATCTAGCTGCGCATTGGGCTCTCTGCTTAGCAAGGAGCCTGCTTCCCTTCCTCTCTCACTGCCTGCCTCTCTGCCTACTTGTGATCTCTGTCAAATAAATAAATAAATAACCAACCAACCAGGACTGATATGGTAGTTCATCTGGGACCCAGACTTTCTCTACCTTTGTTTTCTACCCTTCTAGAGCATGATTTCTATATCAAAATTGCACTTGCCACATGTTCCAAGGTGGCTGCTGGAGCTCTAGCCATCATAACTACATTTCAGATAGTGAAAAGAGGGAGAGCATGACAGGGCAAAAAGGGCATGCTTTCCAGCTTAGTCAGCTTTCCTTAACCAGCCTTCTTGAGGTCCTTCAGAGCTCATCTATGGTAGTCTCAATGGCTGGTACTTAGTCACATGACCACCACTTGCTAAAAGGAGGCTGTACATTTTAATCTCTTAATTATTGGCTACATTGTTGCACAAAATAAAATAAATGTTACTAAGAAACAAGAAAATAATTCTGGGTGGGTATAGGCAGCCTTAGCCATGTTACTTGTGGTAACTTTGTGGTGCTTGACAAATACTGAGGCTTAGCAAGTATCTTTATGCCTCTATTCTTTCTGTTCCACTTAGTGTCAATTTATCACTTTATTCCTCTTTGCTTCATATCTAGCTTATTTTTTTCAGTTACACTGAAAGTTTCTTGGGGGCATAAAGACTGTATATCATGATTCTTTGTCGTGTTTCATAACACCTAACAGAGTGCTTGGCACTTGGAGCACATAGGAGAAACTTAATATGTATTTGTTAATTAATTGACTTTATTTTTCACTAGGACCACATAGTTCTTTTAGCCTCTCATTGACTCTCCCCACCCACCATGACTATTTTGTATTTTTTCTTCAACTACAGGGTAGCAGCTACCTAGGGAGGATACATTGCAGGCTTTCATTCCTTTGATAATTTCCTGTTTTGTTTGTTTTTTAAGATTCTCTTTATTTATTTGGCAGAGACCGTGAGAGAGGGAAACACAAGCAAGGGTGGGGGGTGGGAGAGAGAGCAGCAGGCTTCCCGCTGAGCAGGGAGCCTGATGGGGGCTCAGTCTCAGGACCCCGGGATCATGACCTGAGCTGACAGCAGACACTTAATGACTGAGCCACTGAGGTGCCCCAATTTCCCGTTTTCTAATGCCCAAAAAGTTACTCTGTGGAGTTGATATTCTAATATGTTATCTTTCTTTGGTTAATATATTTAAAATGTATTTGTTTTACACCTAGTGCTTGAAGATAAACACCTCAGATTAAACTGGAGGAAAAATGTGTATTTGTATGTAACATATATCAGTTACATATATATTTCTAGTATTCTTATTCATCATGAATATATGGAATAAGACTTTTCAAAATGCCACTGTTGGCAAGGCCTCAGGAAACGATTTTTCTGTGCATATTTAATTCACATTTATAAGGAAGCTCAGTGGTTTGAAAAAAGGCTTAGGTCACATTTCTTTGTCACAGTGATTTTGAGCTGCTAGTGATTTTTCTTTTTCTCCCCAACCATGGATGAGAGGAGAGGAAGAATTAACTGGAGAGAGGAGACTCTCTCCAAGAAGATAAAGAAATAGTATTACTGGAAATTTCTTTCCCATCTGCTTGAGTCAGACTTTATGGTAAAAATAAGATCTTATAGTATCAAAGTATCTTGGAATAGAAGAGTTTATAGGAGTTCTTTTTATTCTACTTTGGAACTCACTGAATGGAATATTTTAAACATGCTTTATGCTTCCTTCAAATTTATTCTGTCACAGGTATTCATTACATTATTAGCATATGAATATATAAATAGAATACAATTTCATTCCCCATAACCACTATGCTAATATATTCATACACCCAAACATGCGTATGTCTTATAGAAACACATATATAAATGCTAAGAGATAAAAGCATGCTGCTACAAATTCTTCTCAGAACAAAGTTAGTTATAAATAAAACAAAAAGTTAAATATCATCCAGTTATGCACATTCAAAAAGAGTAGGTAGGTAGATCTACATGAATGGTTATTTGGTTTGATGTTTAGGTATATATTAAGTGGGTGGGAGAGAGGGGCCTGGTCAGTAAAGTAACTGCACAGTATTAATAAGAAGGAGAATACATATTAACTAAAAATTGTAATAGCTTTATGATAATTTTTAATGATAATTTTTAATGATACTTTTTGACTGGTATACAAATGACAGAGAGTCATTTATTTATAAAAAGTTGATATTTCTTTCTAGTTTGACTTTATTTGGTTTTGTTCTCATAGATGTTTTCTCCCAGATGTCAGATTCCAATGGCTTAATGATATTTAGCAAGTTTGACCAGTTTCTGAAGGAAGTTCTGAAGCTCCCAACAGCTGTCTTTGAAGGGCCATCATTTGGTTACACAGAGCACTCAGTCCGCACCTGTTTTCCACAGCAGGTAAGGACAGTTTTGTAAAATTTAGGACTAGAAGAGCACTCATTCATCCCTCCACCTTGTATCAGATTTCACCAGATTTGTCCTAGTCTAGGGACATAAAGTCTTGAGCAGGGGAGAAAAAAGACCTTTAAGCGGGAGGGGCATGAAAAAGAGGGCCTATAAAAAATTCTTCTGAGAATTCTGGTTTGGGGGAGAAGGGAGTCTTTCCTGAAAAATGATAACGTCTGAAATATTTTAAGTTATTAAAATTTTAGAGAAAAGTGTTTAAGATGAAGTGTTTATATTATTGCTACTGGACATATATTACTCTCCTGAATGAGTTCTTTAAGCTGTGAAATACAGGAATTTTGGCATAAAACTCTATACAATACTGGACCGTTTTTTCCTGAGCACTGAAGACAAGGAATGCTACACAGCTCCCAGCTGCCAGCTCAGAATCCCTCAAGGGCACACTGTCGTTTTCATATGAAGGAAAGATAGATTGGGTTTCCTCTTTATTTGTGTGTCCTTGTGCAGTCCTGCCCTTGAGGTTGTATGTGTGAATTCCTGAGATCTTAACTGTGCCTCAGATAACTCCGAGCAGAGTGGATGTTGACTTTGGCTTCATCTATTCCAGTAGACATGCGATAAAAGGAACTTCATGCTAAACTTAGACATTATGGAAAGTGGGGAATTAAGAAAAAGTCTGTTAAAACTAATAAGTAAAAGATTAATGGAAGTAGGATAGTGACACAGTCTGAAAGTATCTCCCTATAAGATGTTCATTAATTATAAAAGGAAACATAGTAACCTTAGAAAGTTACTATGTTGTAATAGAGAAGCCTGTCAGATCCACATTAACCTAGCGATCAAAGTCCCTGTCACCACTAAAGAAAACAGACTGATATCCCTGCCCCCTGATTGGATGCACTGAGAAGTACCCAATGTCATTGCTGTGGGCCAGAAAAACACAAGCTGAGTCTCACCTTCCTTTTCTTGTTTTTCCCAATTTTTTTATGTTTAATTTTATTTTTTACAGTTTTATTGAGATGTAATTGACATATAACTTCGTAAAAGTTTAAGGTGTGCAATGTAATGATTTGATACTTGCATGTATTACAAAACAGTTATCCACAATAAATTTAATTAACATCTGTCCTGAGTCTCAATTTGAGGAAATGTCTGACAAACCCAAATGAAGGGATTTCTACAAAATAACTGACCTGCACACTTAAAAAATGTCAATGTCATGAAAGACAAAAAAAAAAAAAAAAAAGGAACCATTCTATGTCACAGGAGTCTAAGGAGAGAAAAACTCAATGCAGTTTATGATCCAGAATTTTCTTTTGTCATAAAGGACATTATTGGGACATTTGAAAAAAATCTGAATAAATTTTTAGTATTTTGTCATTAAATGTTAATTTACTGATTTTGATATTTGTATTAAATTATGTAAGAGAATATCCTTGTTTTTAAAAAATGTGATCTGAGGTATTTAAGGGCAAAGGGACATCCCTTCTGTGGTATTAACATTTGAGGTATCTGGGTAAACGGGAATTTTTTGGATAATCTTACCATCTTTCTGCAGGTCTAAATTTATTTAAAAATAAGAAGTTAACATATACAAAGAACAAATCTAAAGGTTTGAGAACTGAAAGCACATTGTAAACTAGATCCTCCTGACTGTGATACTTTGATTCACAAGAGCCAGAACCAACACACACATACTTTTTTTTACGTTTGAAGTTAAGGATTCTTATATATCTGAATTCAGACTTTCAAACAATATTTTATAGCTTGTTTAGAGATAACTCATTAGCTTTAGCACCAAAAGTGGTACTCATAACACCGGTGAGTTATTTTTTTACCACGTTCTGAGGAGATAATCTTTCCAAATTTGTATGCACTTGGGCTGATTGTTTTTGTGGAAATTTGTCACCATACGTTATTTTTTCCTCTGTGTAAATGACAGTATCAACTTTTAGCATATTAAAAATAGCTGTGTGCCTCAATTTATTCTAATATAGTTAGCACTCCCCCTCCCCCACACTGATATGCGTTAAATTTTTTTTAAATTATTATATTTATTAACATATAATGTGTTATTTGCCCCAGGGGTACAGGTCTGCTAATCATCAGGCTGACACACTTCACAGCACTCACCATAGCCCATGCCCTCCCCAGTGTCCATGACCCAACCACCCTAACCCTGCCGCCTCACCTCCCAGCAACCCACAGTTTGTTTTGTGAGATTAAGAGTCTCTTATGCATTTTTAAATAATGGGAGGCTGTCCATACGTTCCCTGGTACAGGAGTGCATTGCAGGTATGAAAATGCCCAGAAGCAAGGTGAGTGAGGGTGGGTATGGTAAAGAAACAGCAACCGTTTTTCATTTAGCATCATCTCACTGCTGCTGCGTTTGTAGTGCCCTGACGTCAAATGGTTGCCCCCACAATACTCTGGGGTAATCTTGTACATGAGGTACGTGTGGCTTTTCACACAAGATGCTTCCTGGAGGTTAGGCTAAACTTGATCAAGTTCTGGAATGCTACTACTGAGTGTCGGAATAGGGAAGGCGATTTATACAAAGAAGTGTCCATGAGGAAGGAGCTCTGACTAGTGGGTGACAGTCATGTGGGGTGCCAACCCAAAGTCACCTTAGATCTATTTGCAATGTGGGGACTATGAGGAGACTTTAGTATCGGAGCAGAAGTTTGAAATGTTGAAGAATGTACAAAAATTTCCAACTGTTAATCCTAAGAATGCTTTCTAGAATACTCCAGATTTCCTTATGCCTTTATTGTGAAGCCTTTGAACTCAAGAGCTGACTCTTGCTTCTTTTTTTTTTTTTTTTAAAGATTTTATTTATTTATTTGACAGACAGAGATCACACGTAGGCAGAGAGGTAGACAGAGAGAGAGGGGGAAGCAGGCTCCCCGCTGAGCAGAGAGCCTGATGCGGGGCTTGATCCCAGGACCCTGAGATCATGACCTGAGTTGAAGGCAGGGGCTTAACCCACTGAGCCACCCAGGCGCCCCTGACTCTTGCTTCTTATTTGCTTCAGATTCTTAGGAAAAAACTCAGTCTTTGAGTTTTTTTCAAGATTTCATTTATTCATTTGAGAGAGAGAGAGCATGGGTTGGGTTTTGGGGCAGAAGGAGAGGCACTGGGAGAGGGAGAAGGAGACTTCCCGCTGAGCAGGGAGCCTGATGAAGGGCTCAGTCCCAGGACCCAGAGATCATGACCTGAGCTGAAGGCAGACGCTTACCTTACTGAGCCACCCAGACGCCCCTCAGTCTGTGTTTTGTTATGTGCCAAATTTGGAAAAGTCAGAGAAGCTTATTTCAGTCTAGAGGAAACTTAAGTTTTCCTTGGTTTGGAGAGATGACCAAAAAAAAAAAAAAGAGCCTTAGAAGAAAAAGTACTTACTGCTAGAATGACCAAAAAAATGAGACTTTGAACAATGTTCCATGCAGCAGGAGTTAAATCCAATGATATTTGGGTTTCTTTTTGAAATGGTGTTTTCCCATATGCTTTGTTTTACTATGTATGTACTTTTTTAATGCAGAGTAACTCTCACACCCTCCAACGGAGAGAGAACAGTATCAGTGGGAGGTGGAAATTGCGCTGTAGGAAAATGCTAGGCAGTTTCCTAGCATTTTGACGTTCTGGGCTGAGCAAAGAAGTGATCACAATTAAAGAGAATGTAGGACTCTTTTAAGAAAGAAGTGGAACTCTTGCAGGCTTACCTTTCTTTAGTGAAAGAAGTGGCTGGTTTGGAGGGTTCATGAGCTGCTTCCTTTTCTGCAGTGTTATGGGGTGAAACTGTGGGTTCAGAGCTAGAGAGGTGAAGATATCATCTCCTGTCTCACACATCTGTGCTGCAAAAATTGACTGACAGAATGAGCTATCCCCTAGATCCAGTATTTAGTTTAGGGTTTTTTTTTTTTTTTTTTTTTTTTTAAGATTTTATTTATTTGACACAGAAAGAGGAAGCCCAAGCAGGGGGAGCAGCAGGGAGGTGGAGAAGCAGGCTCCCTGCTGAGCAAGGAGCCCCATGTGGGGCTTAATGTGGGGCTTGTGATAAAACTAATCTGTCTTGAAAGTTGTATGCCCTTATCATGAGGAAGGAAAAAAGTATTTCAGGATTTAAGACTGAAAGGTATCATCTGATAGTGACTTTTGTTAATGCCTGTGAAGATTTAATTGTGCTGGTAGTAGTGTTGCTGCTGTTTTGTTAGTCTTCTGTCCACAAGGGTGCCTGTGTTCTTAGGTTTGTGCCAACCCTGTTTTTCTCATGTACCTTATTATTTTTAAATCCACAGTTTTGCAGTATGTGCAATTTTCCATTAATGTGTGCATTGCATTACAGGAGAAATACTTGAATTTTTTTTAATGATATGAAGAAAATTACTTATTTATTTTAATATGGCCTTAATTCTTTTTTAGAAAACAGTTTTGCAAACTAACCTAAAATAAAAACACAACAAAGTTAAAAGCATTTATAAGTTAATTCAGCAGAACACATCAACTAGAACTCTCATACAAACCACTTTAGAAGAGGCTCTGGTGTTGGTTTCCTACAGACCTCAACAGATACCTACCTGTGATCTGGCAATTCTACTCTTAAGTTTTTCCCACATGAAAAACAAAACAAAACAAAACAAAACAAAAATTATGTGACAAAAAGATTTACAAGCATGCTTTTATCAGCCTCAGAAGCATCTGAGGTGTCCATAATAAACCACTGGAGTAAAGTTAATTCAAGAAATAATATGTTCAGGGGCGCCTGGGTGGCTCAGTCGTTAGGCGTCTGCCTTTGGCTCAGGTCATAATCCCAGGGTCCTGGGATCGAACCCCGCATCAGGGTTCCTGCTTGGCAGGGAGCCTGCTTCTCTCCCTCCCACTCCCCCTGCTTGTGTTCTCTCTCTCACTGTGTCTCTCTCCCTGTCAAATAAATAAATAAAATGTTAAAAAAGAAGAAGAAATAATATGTCTGGAATTTGCTTCAAATTAATCCA